CATGGAACAATCTTTAAAGTGCTGAAGGAAAAAAAGTTGTCCACCTAGAATTCTAAATCCAGCAAAAAGTACTATTCAAAAATAAAGGTAAAATAAAGACATTTTCAGACAAACAAAATCTGATAAAATTGGTCTCCAATAGAGCTGAGCTTCAAGAAATTAATATTAAAAGTAGTTTTTCAGGATAAAGGAAAATTATTCCAGATGAAAGCATAAACTTGCATGAAGGAATGAAGAGCAGTGAATAAGGTTTACATGTGAGTAAATGTAAGACTATTTTTTTCTCTTATTTTTTCTTTGTTTAAAGCAAGAATAAAAATGCATAATGGGGCTGATAACATCAGAGTAAAATATATGACAACAATATCACAAAGGATGGGGTGGGTAAAATGGAATTATACCAAGTTAAGGGTATCCATCCCTAATTTATTATAGGCGCATTGTAACCGCAGAGCAAACCCAGGCAATCTGGGCCCAGAGCTGATGCTCTTTACCACTGTACAATGCTGCTGTTTGTCAAGTGAGCATTTTTGCCACTACTTGATTATACATGAAGTTGCAATAGTGACAATAATGTACAGCATCATTATCATTTCAATCAAATCCATGATTAGACTGAGAAATCCATGAGATTCTAAAGGTCTGTCCTGCTCACAAACTCTACTGAGGAAAGCTGCCAGAGATGAGTCCTTCCCCATAATTTGCTGTGCTCTGTGGTATGTGACCCTCTACACTGCCCACAATTGACTGTACCAGGGATCTCTGCCCTAGTTAAGGGAAGCCATACTTTTGGTTGGACATAAGAGAGGCCAGTAGCCAGAATGACCCAGTTGAATAATCTCTGCCCGATCAGGGGGCTCTATTTTGGATTCAACTAATAGAATCAATCCTCCTTCAGGCACAGCAGAAGTAGCAGAGGAAGAAATTGGCAGAGAGAAGCTGGGGAGCACACGAATAAGAAGATGCATATTGTGACTACACAGCAATGAACACCCACTTTGAAAAGGAGGACACAACTCAGTCATCTGAGCAGCTGATGTTCCCCACATGAAAAAGCCATTTTTCCAGTTCTCCAAGAAGCTTTGCCTCTGATGAGGCCATTGTCTTTTCTCTGTATTTTTAAAATAAGCCTCCAGCATTTAAGACAATGTGTGTCTTGCTGCAACCTCAAGGAGACTGTCCAAATTTACCATAAAAACAAACAAAAAAAAACAGGCCTGCAATTTACAGCAGATTAAAACAAATAATTCAGGCATAAGATTTATCACATAAAAAGGAATTGTACAATCTGAAATCTAGGCTTTGACATTTGCTTTAATATAGGAAATAAGATATGCAATGAAAATTACTACATAGTTGTTCAAAAGATAAATGAAAATGTGAATAGTTAAGCACCCAGAGTTTTCTCAATGTCATTTAAAAAGCAAGCATTTCAAACTGTAATTAAATTCAAGAATCAAGGGTAAGTTAGGAAGGCATTAATAACTATGCTTAATTTCCTAAGCTCCTTACATCAAAATGAAAGTAATTTTCCACTCATAAAGTTCATTTTTAAAGATACTTCAATTAAAGATATTTTATCTCTATGTATGAATCTTTTTGTCATAACCAAAATAGTTTATGGAAAAGAGAATATGTATTGTAGCTAATCCAACTTGAAAAAAAGAAACCAGGGTCTCCTTGTCAGTTGAGCCATGAGAACTTGGTCTCTTATCATTCTGAGGATCTGTGTGTAAACATGTAAGCTTTCAATTATTATTACTTAAGAAAATCACCTCAAAAGTCACCTCATTATTTAGGTTTCCTTGGCATTCAAGTAGTTTTTAAAAGCTTACTTTCCAGCTGCAATTATTTTGAAGTTCAGCATTTGTATCTTTATATTTCCAAAGCACTATGCAGTTAATATTTTTGGATAAGTCAGTAAAATAGTTTTGCACCATTTAGATAAAGTTTTTAATGTAGTTCTATTATCACTGTCCTGAAGAATACCTGTATAAGACAAAGTCTTTGCCCAAAAGTTGGTTCATTATCTCTCCTTTGGCTTGCAAATGGCACAACTGTTGTCTGTCTCAGGGAACAAGCAGTTTAACTGGGTGTTAATAAAGAGACTGGGCATGTCTCTCCTCATTGAATACATCCATTCACAGTTAGAAAAACTTTGAGGCATTAAGAAAAAGGGGCTATAAATCCAGATGGGATCTTAGGTATGCTTACAACAACATAAACCCGTAATAGTATAAAAGAAAACAAAGGCAGCACACTGATTTCTCACAGACAACTGCACATTCGTGTTCTTCTGAAGAAATTGAATAGGGATACTTTACTTTCAAAGTAAAAAATATTCCCCCAATTAAGCATTCATACAAGCTGTATTTTATGATTTCACTTCTTTTATTCATTTTTTTTTTTTAGATAGGGTCTCCCTGTTGTCTAGGGGTGCAGTGGCATCATCATGGCTCACTGCAACCTCGAACTCCTGGGCTGAAGCAATCCTCCTGCCTCAGCCTCCTGAGTAGCTGGGACTATAGGCACACACCACCACGCCTGGCTAATTTTTTCTATTTTTTGTAGAGATGGGGTCTCACTCTTGCTCAGGCTGCTCTTGAGCTCCTGGCCTCAAATAATCCTCCCTCCTTGGCCTCCTAAAGTGCTAGGATTACAGGCGTGAGCCCCTGCACCCTTGTTCATAGTTTTTTTTAGATACCCCAAGTAAACCTGGCATATAACATTAAAACTACTATACTTCCAATTCTCTACTTTGAACAATACTTTCAGATACTGACATTTCTGAAAGAGGTATTGTTTTAAAATACTGCTTATTTTATACACACTACAACAAACACAACCTCTCTTCCCCCACAAAATGTTAATTTGGCAAATATTTAATATTGAAATCATGTATTTATGACTTGGTACATGTATTTTGTTATAATCAAGTTGGCAAAATAGCTTAATGTAATTGGTGACTAGTATTTGGACATCACGTTTTAACTATGAAAACCCACTGTTAACACAAACATTTTCTATTGAAATCTGTTCCATAAGCTTCAATTTCACATTTAAAGCAAATTTATCAAGTGATTCACAGCCTATCTTCAAAGTACATTCATGAAAAACTCACTATAGCTTAACCACTGCATTCTTGTCAGAAGTACCAAGTTAACAGCTCATATCTGCTTAACACAATTTTATTTTTAGCTATATTTCTGCTAAGATTCACGCTGTATTCAACTGGCCACAATTACAAAGACAGATAATGGGGATCTAGAGTCACCTGCAAATACTGTTAATGGGAATGTAAACTGGCAGTCTTTCTAGAGCCCAACTTGGCAATTAACAAAATGTTATATTTATACAGTTTGACCAAGCAAATTCATGTGTAGATTCATCCAACCAAAATCTAGACCCAAAGGTCAATGCAATATTGTTGGGAATAGTGACAAATGAAATGAATCTGTGTAGAAAAAAAGGTAACATAACAGGCCTAAGATTGCTATCCTTAGAAAGGACTGGTTGCAGGGATGGTCCTTGGCTAATATCTAGAAACTTGACTGGTAAACAGTTCCCTAATGATATAAAGCTTTCCCTAAAAACCCAAACCCGGGTATATGAAGCCATCATGAACTGATATCCTCTACAAACTAGAGCCACCTTGCACTGGAACTCACCTGGTTTTAAAATACACTTTCCTTCTTGTTTAAGCCATTTTGAAGTGGGATTTTACTGCTTACACTCAAAGTATCCATCTGGATTTCCATTTCTGTTGGCTTGTATAAAGAGACACTAAAATTATAGGCCTGAGCCCTGTGTTTATATCCCAGAAGCATCACTTACTAACTTTGTGAAATGATACCATGTATTTTTTTAAGTACAGTTGTGGAAAAATAGAGGCCAACTCATTGTGTTAGCTGCACAGTGTTTGTAAACTTCAGTGATCAGACAAATCTAGCAAATAGTCTGGTATACAAGTGGCCAATTATGGATCTACACTTTAGTGTGCCTCAACTCTAAAATGTTTAAATCCTAGAAACTCTGTCCAATATCCACATTAGGAAAACTGCCTCATCTATTACCAGAAACATCTGATTTCAGTCAAAGGAAACAACTGCTTTTAGTAGACAATGTGATAGTATGAATTCTAATAAGTGAAAACTTTATTTGGGTCAGCATTAGTATTTTGATTTTAAAAGATTATATATATAGATAATCACACATTTTCACTTGCAATATATTTGCAGATTTGAATTTAATCTTCAACCCAGACTTTAAATCCCTAAAAAATACAATGGAAAACGACATGAAGTATAATCAACCATAAAACAGGATAAGCCAACCACATGATCTGGAGATGGTCTGCTTTGGGCAGTAATTCAAACAATATGGCTCAAGCAATCTCCAATTTAATATATGGGAAGAGAACTTAACAGAGAGGCATATTCACAAAGCTCTACAATTTTTTTCTGTTAATATAAACTAATATACAGAATATAATACATTTTATGTACCAGAGACACATTCTAAAATTTACATTACTATTCTTAATTATTATATTAGAAAGAATTAGGAGTTAAGTATTACACTTAAACAATGTATTGACTAATCATAATATATATAAATATGGACACATACATACATATACCTATATATAAACATACATGTATATTAGACCAAAGGAAGCTTTAAAACAAGCACTAAAGAATATTTAATTAATTCCAGAGGTAGAAAATGAGTTGTGAACTTTCTAAGTTATAAGTTATGACCATTTAAATTTCATATACTAAAAAATAAAGAACATAAGGCAAACACTTTATTGCACTTAACCATATAACATACAAAATAGTAAATATACATCATAAACAAATCCATTACCAGACTATAGCTACAAAATAGTAATTTGCATATAATAAACATTAATATTTTAAGAAAAAAGATTTTAAAGTTATAGGAAACAGTAATCTGCAATTATTTCTATTATATATTAAATACAAATTTTATCTCCATTTATGCATATGTCATAAAATAAAATGTTAAAATTAAAATTCAGAGAAAATACTTACTTTTTTTTTATACTTTTATTCTAGAACAGTGTGAAGGTATTGACATTTCAAGGAAATAATCTACAGTTTCCCAGAAGAATTATTTTTAATACTGGCAGTCTCCATGTTCCATACACAAAACATAAATCTTCTGTCAGAAAGCTCAAAGTTAAAAACTCTACACCAGGCTCTTTGTTTAGTGTTTTCTTTTCCTCTTGGGTACAGTGAACTCTAAAGACATAAAGTTAAGAAGTCAGTGAGGTCTAAAAAGAATAACTCACACTTAAATGGTAATACTTAATTGATAATATACATTTAAACTAGATGTTTAATTATATAACACAATAAGAATGACCTCACAACAAAGACTCAACAAGAAATCTTAAACCTGACACACACATGAATTTTCTCTTCAAAATGATACAGCAGTTTAACACTTACTATTCTCCATTGAGATAGTAAGATATAAATCTTACTAAGATATTAATCTATTAAGATGGTGGATCTCGGTCATCCTAAATCCTACTTAGTAAGTAATGTTACTTTGAAGTCATTTCACGTGAGTATGCCTTCCCTATAATTAGCATATATCCTGTATATGCTAGATATGTATATGCCAGATATTTAGGCCAGTACTAAGTAAGATAAAGTGACTAAGATTTCCAATTCATTTCAATTATATCTGCAAACATAACTCAAAACACAAGTACCATATATCTTTCTCTGGCTACCATAGCAGATACCATAACCAACACTCAAGTGTCCATCCAGAAACAGCTGTGAACCTAAAGGTTACCAATCATTACAAGCAAAGAAAGTAATACAGAAAATACAAAGACACAAAAATTATGAAAGATGTGACAAAACATACTCCCACCAATGAAAAACAAAAAGGGAATGGCAGAAAAACGAAAACAGAAAAGACAAGGGAAAAAATTAAGGAAAACAGATTCCTAGAAGAGAAGTACAGTAGGCCAAAGAACACTGTCCAGATGAAAACAGGTCACAGGTCTGGGAGAGACAGATATAAAAAGATGAAGGTGGCCAGGCACGGTGGCTCACACCTGTAATCCTAGCACTCTGGGAGGCCTAGCAGGAGGATTGCTTGAGCTCAGGAGTTTGAGATCAGCCTGAGCAAGAGCAAGACCTTGTCTCTACTATAAATAGAAAGAAATTAGCCAAACAACTAAAACTAGAAAAATATTAGCCGGTCATGGTGGCACGTGGCTATACTCCTAGCTACTCGGGAGGCTGAGGCAGGAGGATCGCTTGAGCCCAAGAGTTTGAGGTTGCTGTGAGCTAAGCTGATGCCATGACGGCACTCTAGCCCTGGCAACAGAGTGAGACTCTGTCAGAGGAGAAGAGAAAAAGATGAAGGTGATAGAATTCCTAATAAGCATCCATGTCCATATGTCCATTCATTTATTGTATTATCACTGACTTTTCTTTTTTTTTTTTTTTTTTTTTTCCTTTGAGACAAAGGTCTGTGTTGCCCAGGCTGATCTCAAACTCCCAGCTCAAGCAAGTCAGGCTGGGACTACAGGCACCAGTGGCTGGGACTACAGGGACAGGTGACTGTGCCTGGCATCACTGACTTTTAAGTCAATGATTAATAATATGATTAATACTGAAATTCTCCAATGAGCCATAGATAAAAGGATCATAAGAATCCACAGCCAACTGTCATGCTCTTGAATGGTTCTAACCCTTGATGCTCTACAAGCATGTTTCCTTCACTAGTTTGAGAAAATTTCATGTGTACCTGTTTCACTAAAACTTTCATTCTCTTCTTCCTCTTCTGTAATTATAGGCATACTCAGACTTAAAGATTTATCTTCCTTCTGTACATTCTGTATGTTACCTGGAAATAGTTAGAAAATGATTTTATGTAAAAATAAAGAATATTAATCGTTGATAAAATTTTTTACAGAAATAATGTCAATATTACAGCAACATAAAAATTATGTTTAAACTAAAAACTGAAATTGTAATGAACATAAATATGTATTCTAAAATACATATCTTTATAAAGTATTAACATAGTTGTATCTATGCTTTGAAAATAGCCTCTAATTCTTCCACTAAAATAAAGAAAACAGAGAAAATGAGAAAAAACAAAATTAGCCAGATACTTTATTTAATCTTTATCACATACAACAGGAGTTACATCAGAGAATAATAAGATGTGCTATTAATACTTCAACTTTATCAAATTAATCACAAATGTAATTTTTTTAAGTTTAATAACCTTGTGTTTGAATGCAGACACACTTTCCTCACTACATATGCACAAGACATATTTTTCTAGTCATAATTTACCACTGATTTTCCTTTTTCAAAAACACTGGATGTTTTGTACAACTCCTGTTACTTGAAGAAATAGTCTAATCAAATTTACCAGATATCAGCCTCACATCAGGTGCCATTTAGCACACAACTTCCATGTCCCAAAAGCAACCCTCATACAGTCACTCTTTATTCCTTATGCTGCATTTTCTTCTCCACAACACTTTTACCACTTGATATACTGTATATTAATTTGTTTCTTTATAGTCTCCCTCTTCCCACTTAGAGTATAAGCACTATAAGTGTAGATTTTGGTTTGTTTACATGATGTACCCCTAGCACCATAGCATATAAAAGTGCCTGGTATATGGTGGGGCCTCAATAATATTTATTAAATGGTTAAATATGGATTCAACTATTTTATAGCACAATATTTCATAAAGCAGATATGTTACAGTAGTAAGTACCTATCAACACAGAAAACAAGAAATAAGAAAATGAATTTAAGCTTTCTGCTCTGAATGCATATATGCTGGGATCCTAACAGAGTACAGATTTTATGGAATGAACAGAGTGCTAAGATGGAGCTGAGTGAACTGTACCAATACACATTCAATTTAGACACAATGCAACCTTAATACCAATTTCCTATTAAGCCACTGAAATGATTTTATCTTTACTTGTAACTCGTAAGTAAAATGATTTCTTACATGATCTTTAAAATGATAATCTTTTAGGAAACGTCTTTCCATAGCTAATCATATATCTTTTCTTATACTTTGAACCTATAAATTTTTTTCAGTTGCTTACAAAATTATAATCAGTAACATCTACCCAAAATTACTAATATTGTTCTTCCCAATTGTTTAGTCATGTCCATCTATTATCCATACTAATGATTTTTAAAAATCCACCTAACAGGCCGGGCGTGGTGGCTCACGCCTGTAATCCTAGCTCTCTGGGAGGCCGAGGCGGGCGGATTGCTCGAGGTCAGAGTTCAAAACCAGCCTGAGCAAGAGCGAGACCCCGTCTCTTCTATAAATAGAAAGAAATTAATTGGCCAACTGATATATATATAAAAAATTAGCCGGGCATGGCGGCGCATGCCTGTAGTCCCAGCTACTCGGGAGGCTGAGGCAGAAGGATTGCTCGAGCCCAGGAGTTTGAGGTTGCTGTGAGCTAGGCTGACGCCACGGCACTCACTCTAGCCTGGACAACAAAGCGAGACTCTGTCTCAAAAAAAAAAAAAAAAAAAAATCCACCTAACAGAATCTATCCAGGAAAGACAAGGTAAGGACTTCTGAGTTAAAAACTGACAGTTGATGCTCATACTAAAAAGACAAAACAAACAAAAAAAAAAAACTGACAGTTGAAAAACAAAGCGTCATCTCGTCACATGCCAATTACTATTTTTTTTTTTTTTGAAAGAGACAGGGTCTCGCTCCATCACCCAGGCTGTAGTGCTTTGGCACAATCACAGTTGGCTGTAGCCTTGAACTCCTGCTTGGGAGATTATAGGCATGAGTCACTACAACCTGCCTTAACTAAATTTTATAGATCTATTTCTATATTAAATGAATCAATGTTCTCTAAAACATCTTAAAAACAATACAATGTTTCACCTACCTAGAATGAAGCCAAGAACCATCAAGTAAACACACACAACTGTAGGGCATTTTATCTCAAAGTCTACATATTAAATAAAGCTCATGAACTTTAGTCACAGGTATGTTCCTCTGGCCTTTATTCAGAACCTAATTACATTTATTGTACCGAAGACTGAAATAAACGGTCAACCAGTTTCCTGGTCCATTACAGTTTAGAAGTAGTAAAAGGGTAAAAAAAAAAAAAACTTGCTACAAACCTCTACACTGAGAACAGAGACATCTACTACAGTAAATGTGACAGAAACATTGTTTAAAAAATATAAGATATAACTGATAAAGTACTGCAGCATTTAGTATAAACTGCCACACACACTCAAGCTATTTTTTGATAGGATCATTATATTATAAAACCCAGTAAAATAATATACTCATGATGATTCCTATGAGTCATCAGGAGAAAATTAAATTATGTTCAGGATATAGTGTTCCAGAAAATGAGAAAGCATAAAATATATTTTATCTCAATATTTTTCTAACTATAAAAATGATAAATGGCAAGTGTAGTAGCTCATGCCTATAATCCCAACACCTGGAAGGCTGAGATGGATCACTTGAAGCCAGGAGCTCAAGACCAGCCTGGGCAATATAGCGAAATCCCATCTCTACAAAAAAGTAAAAAATTAGCCAGGTATGGTGGCTCATGCCTGTAATCCCAGCTATTTGGGGAGACTACGGTAGGAAAATGGCTTGAGCCCAGGAGTTCGAGGTTGCATTGAGTTATGATCGTGCCACAGCACTTCAGCCTGAGTGACAGAGCGAGATCTCATCTCTTTAAAAAAAGACAAGTGCACACTGTTAAAAAAGAAACATAAAAAGGAATGAAATATATTTTATAAAGATATCAACCAGAATAATTAAATTTTTAAAAGTAAATTTTGGCCAGGCGCAGTGGCTCATGCCTGTAATCCTAACACTCTAGGAGGCCAAGGCGAGTGAACCGTTTGAGCTCAGGAGTTCGAGACCAGCCTGAGCACGAGTGAGACCCTGTCTCTACTAAAAAAATAGAAAGAAATTAGCTGGACAACTAAAAATATATAGAGAAAAAAATTAGCCGGGCATGGTGGTGCATGCATGCCTGTAGTCCCACCTACTCGAGAGGCTGAAGCAGAAGGATTGCTAGAGCCCAGGAGTTTGAGGTTGCTGTAAGCTAGGCTGATACCATGGCACTCTAGCCTGGGCAACAGAACAAGACTCTGTCTCAAAAAAAAAAGTAAATTTTGACATTTTAATCATTAACTCACAAAACTAATTCCCCAGAGGGTCTCAGGTAGATAGTTTTACTATGCTCAAGCTAATTTGTTTGGGATACAATTATCTAATTCCCCAGAGGGTCTCAGGTAGATAGTTTTACTATGCTCAAGCTAATTTGTGTGGGATGCAATTATTAGTAATAGACCATTACTTACTATCAAAACCAGACATGCAGCTAGAATACAACTAAGAATAAACTTACTGATGTATATGTGTAATTTGAGCTCCAGATCCACATTTCTAATGACCTGGGAGGTAGCACAGTATAGCAGACTCAGGCTTAGATTTACACATACTCTCATTCAAGTCTCAGCTTTGCTAATTATTAGCTAGGTAACCTTGGACATATGAGCAAAAGTATAGCAGGTACGTGTTACATAAATAGTAGCCGCCATCATCTTGACCATCACATCATTACTATTACTGACGCCCTTCTGACAATGTGCATGTTATATTCAAAGAATGATGAACACATAAGTGAAGTTTAAATAATACAAACTTAAGTAAATTCAATCCATATGCTGAGCACATATTTATGAGCCAGAAAGTTATTATAAGAATTGAGTCTGGAAAGGCAGACTGAGGCAAATTCTCCCCCAAATGAAATCCTTATCATGTCATCATATTTCTCCAACATTAAAGACACCAGTATCCTCCCAGCTGCTTAGATGTTAAGCATTCTTGTCTCGCCCTTCTCCATCAGCCTCCATATTTGGGCTCTTATATCTATTAGCCTGCTTCTCTAATTCCTACAACCACCTGGCCAGATACTCATTACTCCTAAACCTCAACAACTGCAACAGCCTTTTCCTTTGTGTTCTTATTTTCAATTTGTTCCCATCTACCTACCATCCTACTCCGATTGATCTTCTTCAAGGAATACTCTGGACATACCACCTTCTTGCTCAAAAGTTATAGGTAACTACCCTCCAACTACCAACTTAAGTCTAAACTTCTTGATTCCACATTTAGGCCTGGTCATGATACAATCCTCAATAAAGTTTTCCAGCATTAACAGTTAACTCCTCAACATATCCTTTACACTCCAGCCTCTAACTGTCTTAAGTCTATGGAATTATTATGTTTTTCTTATTTTTTTAAAAAAGGACTTTGGATCTCTTCTGATTACTAAAGTGATACATGGTTATTACATAAAGTCCAAACATTACAGAAATTTGTAGACTTGACAGTAACTCAATATCCGATCCCTGAAAATTAACCACTGCTAACACTTAATATAGGTATAGATTTCTTATAATGTGCTTGTGTGTATATATTTATTAATAAAAATGGGATCATATTCTTCTTTAAAAAGCCTTTTTCAGGCCGGGCACGGTGGCTCACGCCTGTAATCCTAGCACTCTAGGAAGCCAAGGTGGGCAGACTGATCGAGGTCAGGAGTTCGAAACCAGCCTGAGCTAGAATGAGACCCCGTCTCTACTATAAATAGAAAGAAATTAATTGGCCAACTAATATATATAGAAAAAATTAGCCGGGCATGGTGGCACATGCCTGTAGTCCCAGCTACTCGGGAGGCTGAGGCAGTAGGATCGCTTGAGCCCAGGAGTTTGAGGTTGCTGTGAGCTAGGCTGACGCCACGGCACTCACTCTAGCCTGGGCAACAAAGTGAGACTCTGTCTCAAAATAAATAAATAAT